GAATTCAACAATGAGTTACTACCCCCTGGGCATCTACTTTGTACTGGGCACCTAAATTCAGTTGCTGCCCTCCTATTTCTTCTAATGTACACTAAAGGCCAGGGCACACAAGCTAATATACTTTGGTAAGGAGTAAAAGAGAAGACTGTACTTTCTAGTATGACAGAGGAATACCCAGTCCAGTCTGGGATTGCAAGAAGGCTTCCTGGAGGAAATGTCATCTTTGGGAGACACTTAGGCAGAGAGAGAACCTAAACCCAGGCCAAGGTAACCCCAAGCACAGAGTGTAGAGTCAAGCACTCACTCTGTCAGGGGACTTTGCACACCTTTTCTTGTAGAATTGTGTCTGTCAACCACCCTGAGAAATAAGGGTAGAAAAACCTGATGTGTGGGGGATCTAAGTGGTTTGGAATCATTAGAGCCAGAACAGAGCCATCGATGCCTGCAGAATCATGCAGGGAGTCAGTAACCAGAGAAGCAGTTTAGGTGACCCAGAGGAGAAAGGAAGACCCTATGCCCCACGCTACCTTCTCAGCATGGCCGGACACAGTAGCACAGCCTTGAGAGGAAACATATTTGGTAACACCCTCTCTACTACCCAAAGTGAAATTTATTAACAATATCATCTACTTATGCATCTGCCTACCAAACTAAATAGGCATAATGCCCTAACTCCAAAGGACCAGGGAGAGCAATTTATAATGCAGTAATACGCGTAGATAGATGTAACACAATATAACTCAGAACAGTATCAATCACACCTGTGAATGCTTAGGCCCGGTTACTCTAGAAGGCATGAAGCTGGCTCCCTCTTCCTCTACCCAGAATCACTGCTACAGAGGCAGTGTGGCACCAGCGAGTTGTGTGGGAGCTTAGCTATCACAGGAGGTGTTGCCATTGGTGATACAGCTTCCAAAGTAGTGAATAATTTCTGGTGACATACCGAACCAAAGGGAACATAGTTTTTGGTTTGTACTGCAGATGCATTCCTAGAAACCCAGTGTGTATCTGAACTGTGAAAAAGTATCCTGTATTATATAGAAGACAGAGTTGAGGTCTGGGCACAGACTCAAAACAAGCTTTTCATGGACACAAATGTGTAAAATCACAAATTAGCACGGCCTCTGTCTTCATTCTGACAATCAAAAACAGGTCCCTACTTTTCTGCTTCCCGCCAGGAACAGTATATTCCCAACTGAGAACTAACTGGCTCTTTCTATGACAGAGAGTGAGCTTAGGGCTCCTAGATATTCAAAATTGCTAAAAAAGAAAATCCTGATTTGAGGTGAAGTTCTCCATGTTTATGTTGGCAAACAACTTATAATGTGAAACCTTATGTGAACCAAACAAGAAGGTTTGCAGGCTGCTCTTGACTGATGGACGGCCAGGCTGCGGACTGAGCAGGAGAGCTCAGAGCAGGAAGCCAGAGGCTGCACCAGGCTGGCATTGGAAATTCAGGCACAGTGAGGAGTGGGACTCGGAGCTGTAGACACTGGAAGCCACTGATGTGCTCTACGGAAAAGGGGATGCATAGTTGCATAGCTGTGCAACTGAGATAAATCACCAGGCTACAAATCAGAGGAAAGTTTAGAAGGGGAAAAATTGGGGGCCCCTGGAGAGAGATGACAAGAAATCCTGAAGACAAAGCTGGTTGTGGAGATTGACTTGATGTGGCGTGTGAAGGCAGGAGTCAAGTCTCGGGTTTCAGGCCCAGAGTCAGGGGCAGAGGTCAGGGATACCGAGGGAGGGGCAGGTGTGAGAAGAAGCTGGTAGACTGATGAAGGGGGGGAGCTCAACGGGTATTCAAATTTCAAGGGAAGAAATAAGTTTACAAAGTGTAGGGATAGAGTGAGGAGATTGCTGGTTTTGTCCTTTTATCCAGAGTACCACCTTGTGTGTTGACAGCAGATCCCAGAGGATTTCAGTCAGGAGTTTTCAAACTCTGTTGTGCATCAAAATCACTCAGGGAGCTAATGAGATGGGGATATTACAGGCCCTGCTCCCAAACTGCCTAGTCCTATTTCTGGGCAGCATAGGAAGTCCTAGGACCCGAAATCTAGCTGGGCTCCTGGGGAGCCTGTGCTACAATCTGCAGCATCCTAACTTGGGAGGTCACCAGAGGCACTGACCCTGCTGTTTCTATGGCACATTCCAAGGCTCTGCAGTGCACCTGAGAGAGCATTCAGCTTGGAAGGAGCCCATTGTTATGTTCAGGAGGCTAGTGTAGCAGAGTGACTGTGCATTAAGATATTCATGGATGAGGCTGAGAAGCTTTTTTCTTTTCTTTTTTTTTTTGGTACCGGAGATCAAATTTGGGTCCTTGTGCTTGTGAGGCAGGTGGCAGAATCAGAAGCTTTCATATCTAGCAAATTCACACATTCACCGCCCTCTTCTGGACCAGGTCTTTACGTTGGACTGCCCCTTTCCTTCGCCTGTCTCTAACCATTGCCTGCCTTTCCCTGACATGGTACCTGAAACACAATACACATTTAAGATATTTGACCCAAACCAAATCCTTATTTTTGCACCTCTCTTTTGTTAAGCAGAACAAAAGTTCTTAACCACCCATGGCTTTGTCACTCTGTGTTCTCAACTTGAGCTTCAATGCCTTTGGTCAATGAAATCTCTTGTGACTAGCATAAACCTCTCTTCTCCAAGCAGAATATATCCTCGCTGCCTTCAGAGAGTCCCTGTCGCATTCGCAGAGACAGTGCACTGTGTGATGAAGAGCCCAAGCTCTGGAGCCAGGCTGTCTGGGTTTGAATCTCTGCTCAACTGCTTTCTAGCTATAGCACCAGGCAAGTTACTTAACCGCTCTGTCTTAGTTTTCTCATCTGTAAAATAGGGATACTAATAAGATGAAGACCATATAGGGTTGTTGTGAAGCAGATGGATATTGTGAAGACAATATTGACAGTTATAAAGACAATGGGGTAAAGGGACAATAATAGTACCTTCTAGATTTACTATGGGAATTAAATGAGTTAATATAGAATATGCTTAGAGCAATGTCTGACAGTGTTCAGCAGATGCTAATTATCCTTACTTTTTTCCTTAATGCTTGTGTGCATATCCATGTGCACACTGTGGATCAAACCCTGGGCCTTGCAACATATGCCAAGCATGCACTATACCATTATTTCTTCAGAGTGTCAAAGTAATAGGTACTCATGATAGAAAAGTATCAAAATGAAGGGGGGAAACCACCACAATGACGAATCCGATGTGTACACAAATAGTAACAGGTGGGAACAAAGACAATAATGTTATGTACCAGATGCAGAGGCAACTCAGAGCAAATGAGTAACTTGGTGAGAGTGGGGTATAGAATGCAAGATGGTTTGGAAAGTCTCCACAGAAAGCTGAAGCTTATGATAAAGTTTCCAAAGACAAACAGGCATCTGTTAGGTAGCAGGGGGTAACTCAGGAAGGAAGAACAGATGGAAAAACAGGTATTACACAGCTTTGTCATCCATGTAGTACACCTTCCATTCCATGGACCGACCACTCCAAGGTTAGGTGTGAAAGGGGAGGAAGTAGGTGAGAAGGATGCCAAGAGGTCAAACAGGAAGTAGGCAGGGCTGGGAAATGGAGAGCTACCGGTGGCTTAGTTCCCAGGAATTAGGATGAACAGGGGTGTGGTCTGCCCTGTGCAACAGGCAGCCTCTTGTTCCAGAAGCTCTAGTAAAGAGGATGGAGAGCCACCCATCAGTACTGTGCAAAGTCTGCACTAAGCAACTGGATAAGATGGTTTCTAAGGCTTGCTTTGACTCTTACTGGTTGCATGTGAGGGGCCATGGAACATGGAAAACAGTGGGCAAACTCATGGACATGAATGTTGTATACATATGGGGCCTTGTCATTTTCCTATTTAACACATGAAGAGACGCAGGCAGACACAAGACTACAACAGACACGGACAGACCAGCAGAGGGACGCCAGACCTTAAGGCTCAGACAGTAATTTTATTCTGTAAGGAAGAAGGCACTGAAATGCTTCAACCACTTAATGCTAAGACTGCCATAGGTGCTTTGAGGAGATTGAAAGAAAACAGACCCATTATTAGATCATTTATATAATCAGAGACGTGATAAGAACCTTACTTCTAGGGTTAGCAGCACTGGAATGAAGAGGAGGGACTACGAAGATTCTAGGGGAAAAAATCAACAGGAAAACCACCTGGACAAGGTTTACTTTTTCACACATACTTCCCCACCTCATGAGACCTCTAGGCCATGTGGTCCAGGCTCCCAAGCAGAGCACCCATGGGAGGTCTTTGATTCTGATCAACTGTTGCTCATCTGTCAGAGGTATTACTAACACATTCACAGACTTGTAAGGAATCATTTATAAAAACCACTTGAAAGGAGCCAATCAGACTGATACAGAGTGATGCCATAGTCAGCTATTGGTACCATTACTTGGAAAACTCACTTCCTCTACAACCTCAACTATGAAAACTTTGCCTCAGATAACAGTCTTGTCCCATCACAGAATCTGCCCAAGACTTGATGCTAGTTAGATACAAGACGAGGGCAGAGAAAACTCAGGTTGTGACTCTGACTTACAGAAATTTTGAGACAACAATGGGAAAAATATACAGGTTTGAAATACATAAAGTCCAAGTGTAAATGTTCTGTAGTCAGATGGAGGCCCATCTAGAACCTGGGGGAGAGATCAGTACCACATTTGCACAAATAGAGGTGATGGTTGAAGCCCAGGGAATAAGTGGGTTCCAAGAACAATATAGAACGGACAGGCTGATAACATGGTAAAACATCAAGGAGTGGCCAGTCAGGGACTGAAAAAATGATCAGCATAGGAAACAGGGATGACCTGTAGAACCAAGTGAGCAGAACGTTACAGAAGTAATTTCAAAAAATTATTTTAGCCAGGTGTGGTGGTGCATGCTATAATCCCAGAACTTGGGAGGCTGATGAAGAAGAGTTACAGCGAATTCAAGGCCAGCCTAAGCTACACAGTGGGTTCAAGGCCAGCCTGACTTACAGAGCGAGATCCTGTCTCAAAAAACCTAAAAAGAAATAAAATTTTTAAGTAAAATATTCACATAATGGTCTCTATTACAGGCTCCTATCAGATGATATGAAGTTCTTACCCTCTTGGGGTGGCTTCAGTACGCGAGTGCTTCCACTACTGAGCAGAGAATGGGCTTCAGGTTCACCTAGAGGCCTCACCTGTTCAGAGGTCCCTTCCAGAGCATCTCTTGTGACTGTGGTATTGCCCAACCCAAGCTGTCGAGAACTAGTTCAACTTTGTATTCTCCTATACCATTTTCGAACCATACCATTACTATTTCTTCCTTTTCTGTGTAAAAAAATGTACTCCTGCCCCAGAAATCATGATAAGAGTAACCTGGGGCTTAAAAGACAGCATCATGCCTAATAAGTAGCTTAGCGATTCTAATATGGATAGTTCACCATCCACATTTTGAGAAACCAAGTCAAACTGTATGTAGCAAATGCTAAGAGCCAATAAAATGTTTCATTCTAGTTCTGTGAAATTAGAAACCTGTATTAGATGGCCAATTACCATTTATGATTTAAAACTTTTTCAAAAAGGCCAGTCCCAGATGTTTTCTCCATCAGCCTTCTCTGTGGTTGTAATACCCTTCTATAAATAACCCTACCAAGAAATCTAAATGCTACCCAACAAGTACTCTTTTCAGGAACCCTATACCCAATAATACCTTCCTATTTTTGGTTGTTGGTCTTAAGTATTGTACCACACAGAATAAGCTGCAGCTCATAATATTCTGAATGTGGGAGTAACTCTGTCAATGGTTTTATGTTGATTTGTGTCAGTACAGTATCTAGAGGAATTATGATGAAGGTCAGAGGGGAAAAGAAACCTTGTACCTGTATCTAAGAAATGATTGTTTAAAAAATTTGAAGGTTTTCAGATTCCATTTATAGTGAGTGTTCTACCAGAAATAAATTGGGCCCCTGCACAAAAACACACTCAATTTCCTCTTCTGAAAAACTATTCTGTTTAATAGTGCACTTCACTTACGCTACAGGATGAGCAGGGTTGGGAAAACAATGGAAGGTCACCTCTCAGCCTGGGGAAATTTAGGGAGCACCATTCTAACCCTGCAAGGAGCCCTGCCACCAGGTTTAGTCCACAACCTTCCTTCTCTGGTCTCTGCTCTTTATTTGCGTTAATCCTTGGCTGTGGAAGTTAGAAATGGAGTTAGGAGAGGTCCGGCTGCCAGGGCCAGGTGTTAGAGGTAAGAGGGCAGGAGAGGAGGGCTGAGTGGGCTCCTTGAAAGCATCCTTAATAACTAGAGGTTGGAGTGAGTCACTTGTCATTTCATGAGTGGGAAGAGGAAGATAGGGCAGGAAATCAGAGGCCCGTGCTAAACACTTCTGATCTGCACTCTCAGGTTATTCACTGCTCAGTAAGATTTCCCAGTCAGTACAGGGAGCCCAGGAGGGTCTGCCTACAGCACTGCCAGACTGCTCCTGGAAACATGAGCATGTTGCTCCAAAAGCCCAACAAGATACAGTCATCACAGAAATCCTTCTTGGGGTAGTTTTCCCCTCTTCAATAAAACAACAAATCCCTCAACACCAAGCTTCCTTGATTGACATCATAACACACAATAGCATGTTCCTTGTCAAATCTTAAATCTGGACTGAGGGCAGTGTCTTAAAAAATGTAGCCTCTATTCCCCTTCCTAGCAAACAGAAGGACCCAGGACATTCTTTCCACTGCCTTTTGTGCTCACTACATTGATTCCAACTAGTGAATCATTGGAATTTTATTCCTAAGAATCTTATATCCCCATGTTGGAAAGAAAGGCTCCTCTGGCATGAGAAAAACAGTTTAGTGCAAACTCCCTTCCAAAAGAGGGTGAATGGTCCTGCACCCAGCACTTAATGTGAGACTTGCCTCTCAAGCTTTGAAGGCTGGTGTCATTCTAGGAAATCCACTAGGTTTCTGATCACTGTGCCACAATGATACGCCCAATCTGCCCCATTCTCTAAAGGGAAATGTTTGAAGTGGAAGGGACACAGCCTAAGTTGTTCCTACTTATAAAATAAGGCAAGAGCTCTTTAGACTCGGGAAGTGAGGAAAACGGGTGTGTGGCTCTTTCATGTAGACTCTCTGATATTTAATTCAGCAGTAACTCTGAGAGAACTTTTGCTCATACCCATTACATTCAAAGGCTTCTCTCCAGTGTGAATCCTCTGATGGCGAACAAGAGCTGAGCTATACCTGAAGGCTTTTCCACACTCACTACATTCATAGGGGTTCTCCCCTGTGTGGATTCTTTGATGCTGAATAAGGCCTGAACTATAGGTAAACTTTCCTCCACACTCCATACATTCATAGGGCTTCTCTCCAGTGTGGATTCTCTGGTGCTGATAGAGATGTGAGCTCTGGCTGAAGGCCTTCCCACACTCATTACATTCATAGGGCTTCTCTCCAGTGTGGATTCTCTGATGATGAATAAGGGTGGAGCTCCTACTGAAGGCCTTTCCACACTCATTACAAGCATAGGGTTTCTCACCAGTGTGGATTCTCTGGTGGTGAGTTAGGGTGGAGCTCCAGCTAAAGGTTTTCCCACACTCATTACATTCGTAAGGTTTCTCCCCGGTGTGGATCCTCCGATGTAGAATGAGAGCAGAGCTACAACTGAAGGTCTTCCTGCAATCATTACATTCATAAGGTTTCTCCCCAGTGTGGATTCTCTGATGCTGAATAAGATGTGAGCTCTGGCTGAAGGCCTTTCCACATTCACTACATTCATAGGGTTTTTCCCCTGTGTGGATTCGCTGATGCTGAATAAGGTCTGAAGTTCGATTAAAGCTCTTGCTACATTCATCACATTTATGGGGTCTATCTCCCATAGGAAGTCTCTGATGTGAAATAAGGTTGGAACTCACAGCGAAGCTGTTCCCAAACTCATTATATTTCTCATTTCTCTCTCCCATGGGGGACAGCTTTCCCTCAACTGTCATTTGACCAAAATCTTGTATTTTCCTATTCAATCTTTTCCCAGAGTTCCCTAGTTGCCTCTTTAGATTGACTTCTTGTTCATAGGCTTCTTCAAATTTAAGACCCTGAGAAATATCCTTCTGGAATCTTCCCAACAGCATCCCACGTGATCCTGTATCTTCCGAAATTTCTTGATCATTTTCAGTCCTGGATTCACCATCTGTCACACACACACAAAAAAGTCACTTTTTCCTTGTGAAAAAAAGAATAAAAGTCAGAGGAAAAGATAATCAATGCGACTGATTTTTATAGCACTAAAAACATATGCCTTTTTCATGACTAAAAAGAGGCCTACTCTATATGCACATAGCTATACCAAAGTAAGACAACTGGCCCAAGGAAAGAAAAGGAACAAGGTAGAAAGCAAAATCAAAGGAGAGAAGAGCTGAAGGAACAGAAAAAGCAGAAGCTGTCAGGAGGGAGGATGGAGTAGGCAAGTTGAAAACCAAAACTAGAAGAGAAAAGACACTGTTTAACAAGCAGCAAAGTCTTCGGAGAGGTCAGAGGATGTAAATGTAACTGGGCAGATGGTGGTTCCAAGAACAGTTTAAGGAAGAGCAAATACAAGAGACTAACAAAGATGGCTGAAGAGAGAGATGACGGTGATGATGAACAGTGGCACAGCCGAAAGAAGCAGGCGGGTAGAGACATGAGGGACTCCTCACAGCCCAGCTCAGCAGACCCATCCTATCTGTAGTCCTACCATATATGCCACACCCACAGCAACAGGCAGGGTGTTCAGTCCAGGCCAGAAGGCCATGCTCATGTGGGAGGCTATGTAAACAAACTCAGTATTTGACTTTTCTTCCAGAGAGTAAATGTGCAGGGTCTAGGTAGTTAGCATTTATAGTTTGGTTTTCTTTTTAAAAAGAAGACAGGGCAATGAGTGTCAGAGACAGAAACAGCTGTTTTTCCCTCACCTGAATAGGACCTCTTTGTTCTCAGTTCCCTTCAACCAGGACCCCTGGCCCTTCCTCACTTCATCCAAGAGATCATGTCAGGATTCCGAAATGGGCAAGAGACACAGAGTGAGGAAGCTCATCCTGCTCAAACTGAGTGGCTTCAGAGCACAATCTAGACCCCAGCTTTGCAGGCGACAGAAAGGAAATGTACAGGGAGGTCTCAGCTGGGGGTTAGTAAGACCCTCTGGCACTGCTCAGGAAAATGTTCTTACTGAAAGTGGGATGAGAAACAAGGAATTAATCCTAAAGATTAAGGAGGCCAGGTCTCTTTAAAACAAGTGTACATTTCTGTGACAGCACCAGGTGCTCGAGCCTAAACAAAGCAAGAGGTCCCAAGGGGGAATCCAACAGACAAGAGGAGGAAGAGACAGAGTCAAGTCCCAGATTATTCACTCAGACATAGAACAGCACCTTCTATGTTCACACTAGTCTTTTAGAAAAGCTGCTGGATTACACATTAAGTCCTGAGCATACATAGAAAAAGTACTAAATGTGGAGTTAAAAAGATTGAGGCTCAAGCTTTGCCACCCAGCAGCTCTATGACCATGCACAAAGCATTTGAGATCTCCAACCTCACTTTTCTCTCCTATAAAATGAGAGTAATTCTAGCTATCCTGACTACAGTGTCACTGTGACGACTGAATAAATGGATATAGATGAAAAACTCTTTCTACACTGCAAATTACTGTACAAACATCAGTTTTGGTCATCACTGTGATTAGGATGTCCCAAGGCTGAGCCGATCGCTAGCTATTTGTTCACAGTGACATTGTTACCAACAAGGAAGGAAGCTAAGAAACCATAAGAGTTCCTTACCCAGCGAGAACACATTCCCGTAGTTCTCCAGCATCACATCCCTGTACAGGTCCCTCTGAGCAGGTTCCAGTCGTTTCCACTCCTTTCGGATGAAGTAGACAGCTACATCCTCAAATGTCACCAACTTCTGAAACAACATGGTCACACGTGCAATTTCAGAGTGAGGGTAGGGACTGGCAGCACCAAAAAATCAATTCAAGATGGGACTCAAAAATGCCTCTTGGCTGGCATGGGGACACAAGCTTGTGATCCCAGGACTCAGGAGGCTAAGGCAGGAGGATCACTGTGAGTTCAAGGCTAGCCTGATCTACATACTCAAAATAAATAAATTTTTAAAATGCCTTTTTGGGAAGTGGGGAAAGGCAGTCAAAGCAGATAAGAAACAAGAGTCCATGACAGAAGGTAAAGATCCATTACTCAGTAAGAAAGGTGCATGGCCCTGATGGATAGATTCAGAAATTAGGGACTGAATGGGATGGCATTGAACAAAACTGTCTACAAGGAAGGATAAGGATGAAGGGACCACAGCTTACCTGGGACTTGGCCTTTAGGAGAGCAGCTGCCAACATCTCATCCCCCAGACTGTCCTTATTGGAAAAGGCAGGAACTTTTGAAGGAAGAGCTAAAGAACAAAGGGCTCCGGAGTGAGTCTCCCTGCTCTCCAGCCTCGGTTCACTCTTCTCAGTGATACTGGCCACGCCTATCTTTTATGACTGCTGTGTTCTTTTCCTATCCCCCAAGCGGGGGCAGGCACAAGATTCTCTCTCGCATTCCTTCCATCATCCTTCCACACATCTCTGAACTCAAACTCCTATATCACGTTCTCAGACAGAGGTAAAGGAGCAGCTCTACCCCAGCCCTCACTAAAACATAACAACCAAGAACTTCTCTCTTTCTCCACACCCAGAGGAAATCTAAACACTACAAATGTTTCCTGTTTCTGTGCTAGACCACAGAACTTTTTCTGTAATCTATAAAATTACATATATGTCTCAGAGACTCCAAACCTCTAGACACAGTAGGTTTCAACAAAGAGACTTAAATTTAAATTCTCTTTCCTGAAAACCACGGAAACAACACCCGTTAAGAATGAAAATAGGGCTGGGGATTTAGCTCAGTGGTTCTGTTGCCTGCCTCGCAAGCACAAGGACCTGAGTTTGATCCCCAGTACCAAAAAAAAAAAAAAAAA